GGCCTGAGACTGCATTTTATTCCTTCTCTTTGTCATTTTGTATACCACTGTCTTCTGACCTTTGGTGTAGAGCTTAGGTAGAGTTATTACCTTAGCACCAGGTCTAGATCTACGAAGTTCAGATTCCTCCAGGTGGGTGTTGTTTGGATCTGGCTGCTGTGCTCCACTTCTTTCTGCTGCAGCCATTAGAGTTGAACCCTTTGTGTTTCTCTGGCAGGATGTTCTGCTCCTGAATCAGCTGGGTGGGTCTTGCCTCTAGCCTCTTTGCAAGTAGTTCTGCTGAAGGGTTCCTGCTGGGCCTGTGCTCTGAGTCTGTTCAGGATCCCACCAGGCCCTGGGTTGTCTCACTCACTCGCTAGGCCTGCGCTCTGGGTCTATTCAGGATCCTGTGGCCTCGGTCCTCTCACTCACTCTCCGGGCCTGCCCTCTGGGTCTGTTCAGGATCCCGTGGCCCTGGGTTGTCTCGATTGACTTATTATGTTACGAGTCTCTTTTTCATTCTTTCCTTAGTTGTCTTGAAAAATTGCTTCTTTTTTTAAAAAATGTATTTGGTACAGAGTCTCATTACATAGATCGGACTCGTAGTGATCCTCCTGTTTTCAGCCTCCCAAGTGCTGAGATTACAGGCATGCACCACCACACTCAGTCTCAATCAACATCTCAGCATACCCCAGGGCGGGGCCAGCACAGCACATGGGGTAACGAACCCCTGCCACTGCGCTCTGCCTAAGCAGGCACTTTAGTCTTGTGAGCTATCTGGTCGGCTCTGGTAAATTGCTTCTTTAAGGAGAATAAATAGTTCTGTGTACAGTAGTCTAAACAATATAAAAATAAACCCCTGGAACCCGTGAGTGCATACATTTCCTGTTCTGATCTCTGTGATGGTATTTTTGATTTATTTGTATCTCATCATACAATACCCCCACAGTTTTTTCAGGTCTGAATAAAATAATTTTTAAAAATAATTTTATTAAGAAACAAATAGCAATGAGACAGTTTCAAACCAATTAGTAGGACAGTTTCAATAATTAATACATCGCATATTGTCATCTTCTTAGTGGTTATTCATAGTACAAGATGCAGACATAATATCCTGTTCACAAATACTATTAGTACAAATCTTCTCATTGAATTAAGAGAAAGTAGCTGTATATCTATCCTGTTTTGGATATACAGATACAAAATGGTCCTTCATTTGTATCCCCTTTTTTTGTTTAGTTTTGTCAGAGAAGGGTATTCCATTGCCATTAAATATTGGCTGAGCTGGCCACCAAAAAAAGAATTATAACTGCCTAGTTGTCTGTTGTCAAGTGGTTATTTCTCTGTGCTGCACTATCCAGAAGCATTGTTAGTGATTGCTATAAAGAATTAACTCATAAGTCAGTGTAACTGATCTCCAATGAAGGTTTTACTAACTACTCTTGAGTTCATATCCACAATACCACCTCACTCTACCTAAGGATTCCCCTAGGAAAATGGGGAAGGTGGCAAGAAACCACATATGCACAATGTCGCCTAACCTTCTGGAGTGCTAAGGCCAGCCAAATTTAGGGAGCCACTGCATTAGAAGACAGATTTCACAACTGGACTCCAGTCTTTGGTTTCTTAAGGCATGGGCTTACCCTTTGCTGTATAGTTGGGACCTAGCACAAGGAATGAAACAAAGTTGATGTGCAATAAAAATGTATTTCAGCAAAGAACATCGATTATTGACAAAAACTAGATTTCTATTAAATTATGTAAGTTAAGCAATCCACATGGCGGTCAATCTTAGAATATTTGAAGCCAAAATGCTCTATAATAATGAATATAAAATACTTCCAATGAGCAGGAGCTTCTTCCTTTTTTTGTTTTCAAATCACTTTGTTCAAATGAATGCTAGCAAATGTTCAAATGGTGTGATAACTTATCTTCCTCCTTTTCACATCATAAATATATGAGTCCCTGAGTGCTGTATTACATCTCTCTGTTTTAGAATTTTGTCATTATCCAATGTTACCACATATATTGTTTTCAATGAATGCTTATTTTATAAGGGAATGGAGATGGAGTTATTCATAGGACAAGATGCAGAAGTGATATCTTGTCTAAACAATATTAGTACAAACTTTTCTTCTCAATGAACTAAGAGAAAGTAGCTGTCTATCTATCCTATCTTGTATATACTGACCTTGTCAGATAGCAAAATTTATTCTTTAATTATATAGATATTGCTTTAACTTAGTCTCAACCATCCAGTAGAAAAGTGTAACCACGAGGTATCAAAAATAAAGCTATAATGATCCTGAGAATATTCAGAAGATTCTTTAATCTAGGAGTTAATTGGAAAGATTCTCACCCTGACTAACTATATATACTGATACCTGGGAACTAAGCTACTGCACTGCAGATGGTAATTTGTAACAGTTGTTTCATGATGGGAGTGCCTGTCATTGTGGTATGTTGAATATGGCGGCTTGTCATGACATGCCATTTACTGCTAAGATGTCTCTAGGGTAGATGGATGTTCAAGAAGAAGGCGGTGGTGAAGGAAAGCAAGAGACAGGAAAAGGAATATTGTGGGACTGTCCTGCTTCAAGGTTGTATATGGTGAGATTTTTGGACTTATGTGCAAACATGAGAAGCATAGAATTCTTTATCCTATTTTTTAAAATATAATGTAATTTTAAAATGTTTTTTTATCATATTATGTAGGGACTTAAAGTTCAACATATCAATACTTGATGAAAAATACCTGTTCCTTATTATGCCTAAGATGTTTGAAATGCAGTGAGATAGTGAGGTTAAGATTGATAGCCCAAATCGTTTGATAATAACAATAAGCTTTTCTTCTGGATGGTTAACAACCTAAGTTTGCAGACCAAATTAGAGAAAAAGGAAGGATACAAGGAAAGCCAACATTTTGGCCCTAACCTTCTAAGGTCAATTAAGACTCAGGATATATGAAAACTTGTACTGTAACGTCATGTACCTCGGTAGTGTCCCAAATTTTCTGATCAAGAAGATTATGGGGCCAAAGAGGAAAGTGATCGATGACATAGAGTGTGCCTAAGGAGAGTCACATGGGGAGAAGACACTCTCTCAGGCTTTCACAGAGAGCACATTGGCCAAGCAATGGCCGTGACTCATCCACATGGCTGCACTGATGAAGGTTCTACAATCTGAGGTACAGGATCTCAGGACAAATCCTGAGGGCATTTCACTGACCTTCTCAGACCAAAAAGCTACAACTCTTGTTGCATAGGTCCTGCTTTACCTTGGTCTTAACCATCCAGTAGAAAAGTATGAAGTTGAAATATAAGAAATTAAGCCATGCTGTTGGGTTGAGCTGTGGGGGACTCAGGTCAATAATTTCTGACATTGCCAGTTAAATATAAGACCCAATGCTATTATGGGCTACTGGACTCTTTTAGAATATTTTGCTGAGTTTACACACCTATAATATTCAATAACGGAACTTAGAAAAAATGGGGTATACCGATGAATGTCCATTTTGTATCTGTGTATTCAAAGAGGTTGGGATAGATATATAGTTGCATTCTCTTAATGAATAGAATGATTTGTTCTAATGGTGTTTGTAAATGGGATCACAAGTCCGCATCTTGTACAGCAATTAACCACTAAGAAGAATATATGCAGTGTATTATTTGTTGAAACTGTACTTCCGATATGATTTGAAACTGTCTCATTGCTATCTGTTTGTCAATAAAACTTTGAAAAAAAAATAAAAAAAATAAAAAATAGTACATCCAAAAAAAAATAATAAAGCTATATTAATATGCTGAACTGTAAAAGGTTCAGGTCAACAAATTTGGGCAATTGCCAGTTGTGTTGATTACTCACTACTATTATGAACTATTGGACTATATTGGGTTATTTTTCTGAATTCAAGTACCTATAAGTTTTGGACTGGCATCAAGTATGAAAAGCTTCTTTAAAGATTTTTCCAAATACAGCTTCTCTGACAGCAATGGAACCCCATCTCTGACAATACAAAACAAAAAAGGGGGATATAAATATAAATTTTGTTGTGAAAAAATTATATATATATATCTTTTTCTATGTATTCTAATCATGCTTATCTTTGATGAGTGTATGCAAGTATTATATTGTATATTTTAAACATATTATTCAATTAAAAAGAATATGTTTCATCCAGAGGAGTGGAGCAAAAAGTGTGCAGCTACATGGTTGGGGACAGAATCCAGCAAAGGAAAATGTCTTCACGTTTATTGAGTTCATACTAACCATGAGGAAGATTGGTCATCAATTGCGCTTCTGTTCCCAATTCAGTACTGGTTAAGGACATTCAGAAGTTTTACTGAAGGCTGCACCCATGTTCCCTCACTAGAGTTTTTATGGGGAATGAGTTTGGCTACAGGGCAAAGAGCTTATATTTTCCCATGTTCCCAAGTGATGCTGGTGATGGTGCTAACAAGTTACTTCATTCCACATTTCTATCAGATTCAATGAGGAAGCTAGAAACCAAACAGATGTAGCAAACTTCTTTCTTCTTGGAATGACGGATGATCCAGCTCTTCATCTGCTCATCTTCAGCCTGTTCCTGTCCCTGTACCTCGTCACCATCCTGGGAAACCTGCTCATCATCCTGGCCATCAGCTCTGACTCCCACCTCCACACCCCCATGTACTTCTTCCTCTCCAACCTGTCCCTCACTGACATCTGTATGAGCACTACCACGATCCCAAAGATGCTGGTGAACACCGGAGCCCAGGATCCGAGCATCACTTACTCAGGTTGCCTCACTCAGGCCTGCTTTGTTTTGTTTTTTGCTGGCCTGGAGAATTGTCTCCTTGCAGCCATGGCTTATGATCGGTATGTGGCCATTTGTCATCCACTGAAATACACAGTCATCATGAACCCTCACCTCTGTGATGCACTGGTGCTACTTTCCCTGCCCATTAGTGCTGCAAATGCCCTCTTGCTTGCTCTGATGGCCCTGAGGCTGACCTTCTGTGCAGATCTGGGGATCCCCCTCTTCTTCTGTGAACTTGCTCAAATCATCAAACTTGCCTGTTCTGATACCCTCATCAATAACATCCTCATCTATGTTGCAGCTTTCATATTTGGTGGTCTTCCTGTCTCTGGAATTGTTTTCTCTTATGCTCAAATTGTATCCTCTGTTTTGAGGATTCCATCTGCTAGAGCAAAGTATAAAGCCTTTTCAACCTGTGGATCTCACCTGACAGTGGTCTTCCTGTTCTATGGGACAGGGTTAGGTGTCTACATCAGTTCTGCAATGACTGACTCCTCCAGGAAAGCTGCTATGGCTTCAGTGATGTATTCTGTGGTGCCTCAAATAGTTAACCCTTTTATTTACAGCTTGAGGAACAAAGACATGAAAGGAGCATTGAGGAGGCTCTTCGTAAGGCTGTCTTCTATTCTTTAATATGTCACTCACTGTTGACTAGGGTTTATAGAGTAAGTCACAGTGACAGAAATACTAGTGTGTTAGAATACTTGGCTCTTCTACCACCAAGTGTATCAAAATAACCACATAATGATATAAAGCTAAGTACATTTTTAAATTGTATTTTTCATGCAACTCTGCCCTTTTGTAGTCATTTGTGATACTTCAAAGAATGACTTTATTTTTTTTCTTTTTAAATTTTTATTATTTATTTATTTGTATTTTAGGGAAGGCTCTAAGGGTGTTCAAGGTCTTACTACTAGATCAGACTTGTAGTGATCCGCCTGTTTACAGCCTCCCAAGAGCTGGGATGACAGGTGTGCACCACCACGCCCAGTCGCAATTGCTGTCTCAGCGTGCTCTGGGGGCAGGACCGGCACAGCAGGCCTGGGGATTGAATCCCCAGCCCCTGTGCCTGCTTGCGGGCACTTTAATCTGCTGAGCTATTTGGTCAGCCCTATGATTTCATTTCTTAAACTTAATTTTCTTTCTTTCATTATGGAATCAGAGCCCAAGACTTAAGTTTTAGTGTTACTGGCTTTATTTTATTTTTGTAAGACAACAGTTAAAAAAACCACACACACACACACACACACACACACACACACAAGAATCAACTGGTTGATTAAAGCTCCTGCAAGCAGGCACAGGGGCTGGGGGTTTGATCCCCAGGCCTGCCTTACTGGTCCCCTGCCAACCGGGGAAGCGTGCTAAGATGGCAGTTGAGACTGGGGATTGTGGTCAATTGGGACTGGACATGGTGGTGCTCACCTGTAATCCCAGCTCTTGGGAGGCTGTAAACAGGAGGATTACTAGGAGTCTGACCGAGTAGTGAGACCCTGAACACCCTGTACCCTTCCCTTAAAATAAAGAAAAAAATCAATTGGTTGAAATGACACCTGCCTGAGTGACAATCTCAATAGTCTACAGAAAAAAAAATTTTGCTCTACTCTCTGGCAGTTTTCTAGTGGTTTAAGTATTCTTTCTTCATTGTTGTTGTTGTTTATATGGGGCCAAAGAGGAAAGTGATCGATGATGTAGAGTGTGCCTAGGGAGAGTCCCATGGAGAGAAAACATTCTCTCAGTCTTTCACAGAGAGCACATTGGCCAAGCAATGGCTGTGACTCATCCACATGGCTGACACTGACAAAGATTCTACAATCTGAGGTACAGGATCTCAGGATAAATCCTGAGGGGATTTCACTGACCTTCTCAGACCCAAAAGCTACAACTCTTGTTGCATAGGTCCTGCTTTACCTTGGTCTTAACCATCCAGTAGAAAAGTATGAAGATGAAATATAGGAAGTAAAGCCATGCTGTTATGTTGAGCTGTAGATGACTCAGGTCAACAATTTCTGAGGTTGCCAGTCAAGCAGAAGACACAATACTATTATGGGCTACTGGACTCTTTTACAATATTTTGTTGAGTTCACACACCTATAATATTCAAATAACGGAACTTAACAAAAAAAGAGCATACAGATGAATGTCCATTTTGTATCTGTGTATTCAAAGTGGTTAGAATAGACATATAGTTACATTCTCTTAATGAATAGAGGGATTTGTTCCAATGGTGTTTGTAAATAGGATATCGAGTCCGCATCTTGTATAGCAATTAACCACTAGGAAGAATGTATGCAATATGTTAATTATTGAAGCTGTCCCACTGATTTGATTTGAAGCTGTCTCATTGCTATTTGCTTATCAATAAAATTATGGGAAAAAAGTTCAATTAAATTTTTAAGGTAATTTAGTTTATCCTGTTAGTTCTTTGTAAAAAGTAACATTGCTGCTTTGGTGCATGCAGAATAGTCAGATGCAAAGCTGTGCTTAATTTATTTTGCAGAACTGTGTCTTACCTGTCACTTGCATTCCTACATGCATTGATACAGTTACTTTCCTTTTTTTTTTCAAGTTTGAGTTAGGCTTGTTTAGTTCACTTGTGTGTTATAAGAACCAGCTTTCTATTGAATATTTTGTATTGCAATTTTAGTCTGAATTACAATGATTTCTGGTCCAAACATAATTTCCTTCTTTGGGCTTGTTTTGAATTTGCATTGTTCTAGTTCCTGTAAGGTCTTTGGAAGCAGCATCAGGTTATTTATTTTGGACCACTGCTCTGATGTGGGCATTCACGGGTTTTAATTTGTCTCTTAAAGCTGATTCTATCATGTCTTGTATGTGATGCTAAAGTTTGGTGACATTATTGTTGGATTCTAGAAAGTACTTGAAGTTTTATTCCTCTGTGATTCATTGGCTGTTACTGCCAGTGAATTGTTTAATCTGAAGTACATTCATAATATGGAAACAGTAAGACAGAAATTCTTAACAAATTAGTAGAATAACAATACTGAATACATTGCATATTGTCATATTCAAAGTAGTTACTCAGAGAAAAATAATGGGAATAAAAAATTCTCCAGTTGCAACAGATTTGATGATAAAAAGCAATAGATCTGACCATAAAAATAGATAATATATCAATCATTGTTAATCAGCTATTCTTGTTTTGAAAATCTGTAACATATGTATTATTGTAGGTTACCCTGTTTCTGTCTTTGTTTTTGATTTTATTGCTTTTGTTATTACTCTTCAAGATAAAATACAATTATAATTAAAAAATTCTCCAGTTGATATTAGCACTTTTTAATATATTAAAGAGACATTAATACTAGAGCTAACTTGCATTTTCCCTCTTTCTCTTCTTTTTTTTTCCTTTGCCACAATCCCATCTTTTTAAACAATTTTGTCTTATGTCAAAATATCTATTGTACATGATAGACTTTATCTAGATTTTCAATTTCTCACACCAGAAAGGCAATGTAATTTATTCACTTCAGTCTGATTTATTTCACTTATGATTATGACCTCAAATTGCATCCATTTACCTATAAAAGTCTCACGTAAATTCTTCTTTTCAGTTGACTAGTATTCCATTGTATAAAAATTGGTTTATCCATTCCCTGGTAAATGGACATTTGGTTTATTTTCAAGATTTAGCTATTACCAATTGTACTGTTATAAATATAGGTGCATGTACATCATTGTGGTGTGATGCTCTTAATTATTCTGGGGAGATGCCCAGAAGGAGAATAGCTGTGTCTAATGGGACCCTTTAACCCTAGATTTTTGAGAATCATTATACTGATTTCCACAATGTTGCATCAGTCTGCACTCCCTCCAACACTGAGGAAAGGTTGCTTTTTCCTGACAGCCCTTGTTCCCAGCATTTGTTACTGGTTGATTTCTGTTTTTTTTTTTTAATGTGTTAGTGCAGGGTCTACAGGGTCTCATAATGTAGATCAGACTTGTAGTGATCCTCCTGTTTTCAGCCTCCCAATTGCTGGGATTACAGACATGCTCCACCATGCTCAGTCTCAATCTCTGTGTCAATGCACCCGGAGGGTAGATGGCAGAACTGGCATGGCTTGTGTGCTGGGGATCAAACCCCAACCCCTGCTGTCTCCTAAGCAGGCACTTTTGTCTGCTGAGCTATCTGGCCAGCCCTGATTTCTTTTCTTTTCTGTCATTTAAAGGTGGTTTAAAGGAAAAAGGGGGTTTTCTTACAAACTTTTTCACAAGTGTCACATTTTCTCCTTAAAGGGAAGGATTTCAAAACAAAGGTGAAACAGCTTAAACAGAAATACTCATAAAAAGAAACTTTACAGAATTCTCAACAATATTAAGACAACATTGACCAACCAGTTTCATTACAGTGCTTTCCCCCACCCCCACCCTCAGTGCGTCCACCAAGACTAAGACACGTTGTGTTCAGACAAATGAGTTCAAAATCCCAGTGAAATGAACAAGTGTTCTGAACCCCCATGGTCAGCTTCCCCACCCACACCAGTGTGGCCATGCTACACTGTTAAACTGTAAATTGTGACTTTGGAAGACCAACCCCATGGGAGGGAGAAAAAGTTGACATCTCTTGGGGGAACTCCTTCTTGTTCTTGTGCAACATTCCAAGCCACTGGTCCCCTACCCAAGGAGAAATGCTAGGGCCTCAAGAATGTCCCAGCTCCACCTGGGAGGGTCAGTTCATGAGGTCAGACCCAGTCGTACACTAAACAGTGTGATGCTGGCTGGGACAGACATTTATTAAGAAATGCTCATCATTGGTCAGGCTGGATTTGAGGCAAAGATAGGGCAGACAGACAGAAATACTGTCTTCATTGGAGGAAAAGTAGAAGTAGAAGAGAGTGAAGAGAGATGGGGCATGTGGAAGACCAGCACAGGGCAGGCTGGACCAGGTTGGCCAGCTCAGTGGGTCTCCAGAGCCAGGTGAAGATGGTGACGCAATGGAAATAGGAAGGAGTGGCTCTCACACTCCACTGCTCAGGGTCCTGAGGGTACTCTTCCCAAGGGCTGGAATGCAAATCCAAGCACTAAAACAGCCTGGCAAGTATCAGGCTCCCAATGCAGGGAAGCAAGGGCCTTGGACCCAGCAGGGGCTTGCAGTGCCAAAGGGGGTTGAGCAGCAGGTGGGGAGCTAGGAAGTCATGCTCATTTGCAGCCCAGCTGCTTGTTGCTCTTGCCACAGAGCCAAGACCACCTGTGTGAGATAGTGGCAGTCTCTTCTCAGTTTATAAAGGCTTCTACAGGAGATGGATGCACATTGGTAGCTTAGACTTAAAATTCCTCCTCAGCTGAGGCTGGAGGGTCCATAGGAACTGCTTCTGGGAGCCAATGTTGGTTTATTCTGGCCCTGACCCTCTCTCCCTGCAGGGGTCCAGGTAGGGACTAGGACACAATGTCAACCTCTATTGATTTTAGTTCCTCAACTGGAATTTTTTTTTTTTGTCTTTAATATTTAAGATTTTATTGGTTGTGTTGAGGATCACTACACGATTCACTTTGCACACAATTCTTAACACACATACCAAAAAAAAAGCCATGGATTGTTTTTCAGTTGTTTCAGTGATTTTCCAGCTTCAAATTTGGAGCCAAATTTTCTTAAGAGGATTAAGTACCAGTAT